GTCTGAAAGTGAAAATTTTGCGCAAAAAACGCGTTTCTTGCGTTTTTTTTTAATGAGCGTTACTGACTCACAATCGCGGTTCCCTTTTGAGCGTTTAAACGCGTTTTTCCAAATGTTTGTCTGCTTGGGTAACCAAGGGCGGCGGAGCCATTGAGGCTCAGAGGCTTGAGCTTCACTTGGTCTTGGCCGATTGAGACTCAGCCTCACCTAATTTTAGACTTTACATCCCACGAGAATACATAACTTTCAACCCTCATGCACTTCTGCAGCGATGTCGGGAGTAGAAGCGACCTCCTCAATAATCGAAAATTGTTGTATAGCCCTGACTGAAACATAGGAGTTTATTATAAAGAATGGAGAGCCTAGTAGCTTTCTTTGCAGAAATACGGATTTAAACATCTGTTTTCATCACAAAAGTCTATAGAGATATTAAAAGTTGTTTGCTTCGCGAAAAATTTAACAGCTGTATGAGTATAGTCACCTTAGAAGTTCGCTTGACTTTTTGTCAAGAACTTCGTTCTAAAACAGTCATTGCAAGCGTGCCCATTTTCGGCGGCAGAAGTTTTAAATAACTTTTTCTGGACTGAATTTGAAGGCGTTTTTCTTCCCGAAAAAACTGCAAGGAAAGTAGTATTTTCTTAACAAGCAAAGATTATTCGCTTTGCGAAATTTAAACGGGTGCAGTCAGCGGCGAAGTCAACTGTAGAAATCCCAAGACTTTTTTGAAACTTAGTTTCTTTTTCAAAGAGCTTCATTTTTTTTGGCAAAAGCATTGACCAATTTTTCGTTAGCATCTGTCTTTTCGAAAAGACTCCAACGAGAAGCAGTATTTTTTTGGGCAGTCTGCAAAAACATTTTCACTTCACGACAAATTGTGTTGAGTTTCGCATGATATTATGGAGTTTCTCAAAGTCCGACTTTTTTGCATCGAACTTGTTGGATGGAACAAGACTTTTCGTGCATTTTAGACCACGGAAAAGAATTATTACTAGCTTCAGTGGCAAAACTGTTTGACCTTAAATCTTGGCAACTTCAGGGCCCCCTGTACTTCTGATGGTTTCTGATCCAAGAACGAACAACGAAAACCGGTTTTGGGTGCTTTTGGTCATATCTGTTTTTATACGTGTTTGGTCTGTTAGAGCTAAAAAGGACTCTTGCTTGACGCTTGGACAAAAGTTTGACGGTCAAATTTCGACGGGACAGGAAAAGAAAAATCTATGAGCCTCACTTACGAGGGAATGCCCCCAAGTGACAAATCCGTTTTGTCCGGAAACTTAGTGGACAATAGGTAATCGAGTGTCCTGACTCCGAACATCACAATGGTTTGGGTCGATAGGTCTCGGAAAACCATCGTTTTCTCGGAAACTCTAAAAAATAACCAAAACCTTTGTTAATAAGGCCTCATTGTCGCCTGTACGTTTCTGATTAAAATGAGACACCTCTCAGCTTTACACGACCTTTCTTTGCAAAGTATAGAATTTAGAAGAAAAGCCCTAAATTAATTTCTTCTTATTTCTGTAGCTTTGAGCTTGCAACGAACAGTTAGGGCTTTTCTTGTAAATTCTATAACTTTGCAAAGAAAGGTTGTGTAGAGCTGGGAGATGTCTCATTTTAATCAGAAATGTGCAGGCAACGATCAGACCTCATTAAGAAAGGTTTTGGTCATTTTGTAAAGTTTCTGAAAAACTGGTTTTCCAAAAACCCGAGGAGACGTATCGACCCAAACCATTGTGATATTCGGGATCAGGACACTCGATTACCTGTTGTCCACTAAGTTTCCGGTCAAAACGGATTTGTCACGTGGGGGCCTTCCCTCGTTAGATTCAACACGCTCCGCTGCCTATGATAGTAACCATTCGACTTGGAAACCATCTAGCGTGGTGGTTATCTCACTTAGGAACTACTGATTTGGTATCATGGACTAATTAGTTAAAATATAATTGCTGTATATAACACTGATCATATTCAACTTAGATTCGTTTTTGATCATTCATTCGGGGATAATGAAATCGGCGAACTTCATCGTAAGAAAATTTTCTTAATTTATTTTTTAAAATTCCATTCATTAGCAATTTTTTTAGTTTTTTCAGTTCTATCTTTAACTGAAATTTTTTTATTAATAATCTCATCAAGATACTTTATAAATAAATTCTCATATTTTAAAAAAGCTTCTTTAATCTTTTCAATTTCTAATAAAATTTCATTTTTTTGTTGAAATAATTTTAAAGCTTGATCAAGAGTTATTTCTTTTAATTTTCTTTTATATAAAACATATAACTCAATTTTTCCTAATTTATAACAAAATGTTTGATAAGATTCATTATCTTTTGTTCCATCTTTAAATGGAATGACACAATCTTCTTTAAATTTTGCTAAAATATTATATTTTATTTGATTATTAAAATACTTAAATGATTTGTCTATTGCCATAATTAATTCTACTTTTAATTTAATCATTTCTGTGGGACTTGCTCGATCAATTATTTCTACTTTTTTGACAATTTCTAATAACTCAACCATTGCGTCTAAAACATAATGCGCACATGAATCTTTTAATCGTACTTTTCCTTTCTTGATATCTTTTACTCGATAAAGATTATTTTCTCCAACTTTTTCAAATACATGAATATCTAAATTATTAATATGTGTACCTTCTACAAACCAAGTCAAATCTAAAGATCCTAAATTGGTAATAAAATTATTTATTTTTTATATTGCATATAACTTATTTTCAAGTTTCTTTTCAGAAGCAACTTCTAAATCAGTTACATTATTCTTTTTAAGTATTTCAGACGGATATGTCATATCCTTTTTCTCTTTTTCAAGAATTATTTTAAAAATATCTTTTATCGAAGATATGATTTGTGAAGCATTTCTGTTAAATTCTGAATGTATATTAGCCGGAAAATATGAATCAAAACGTTGAAATAGCTTACAAATTCTGCATTATAATTAACAAAACGATCAATCATTTCTGTAACGTCCTCTGTTCTTTCAATTAACATCTTTATCGATTCTAGTTGTAAATCTATCATATCCTTAAAGAAAGAATTTTTAGTTTTTGCAACTTGTAACAAGTAATTAATTAATAGATATGTTTTACAATCGCCTATTCGTTACAGAAAAGCCCAAGCCTTGGAAACTTGAACTGGTTCTTACTACGCGCGCAGTCCTCGAGACTGCCTTTCTGTAACTTTTCACTCAACTCATGTTGAGATTATATACGTAGAACATCACCG